TAAAATGTAGAAGGTTGAATTAAAACAAAAATGTTTGACAACGTACGGTTTGGCGGCGGCACCAAATAAGCGAATAAAAGGCGGTCAAAAAATCAGGCCAGACATTCAATAACAAGGCAGAGCATATTTCAGCCGTGGCAGCAGATATTCCTGCCATGGACGTGGACATTACAGGCATGACAGTAACTGTTTCAGGCGAATTCATGAATATTTCAAGCATGGGAGTTTAGGCAGAGGATATTTCCTCCCAGACGGTGGATATGTTATCTAAGGCAATGGATATTTGAGAGCGGCCATATGAGGGCGGTCATGGTCGAATAAACGTCAGTTATAATTGATACAACTTAATTGCTCACCCATTAGAGATATAAAATCAACTAAAACTATTGAATGTGAAAAATTAAATAACTATATTCTTGTCTTCAAAAACATTTGACAGCAAAATGCGTTGCTTGCATGGAAGCACAGTGACTAATATCATGCGCGTCAGCGTTAAGCGCGCTCAATATATGCATGCACACTTTTAGGCCCAGTTTCCAGTACTATTTAATAGCAAAAAAAGAATAGTAACGAAAATGCAAAGGCCTATTAAGGAGTAGAGATTGAAAAAAATAAGATGCTCTGAGCTCAATGTTAAAAGACGTTTTTCATGCATTGTAAATGATTGTTCATTGCATTGACGGCAACGCGCTGTGTGCGGTCACAGCGAAATACTGGAGTGGTGACCGAATGTTCAGAAATAATGAAGCGATGACCGAAAGCTCGACAGCACAATCTTCATACGGCTAATTTGGTGGCGCGAAGTACTCATTAGATGTAATTTGCGCGTAGTTTGTACATCTGGTACAAACTAATACGTGATAAGAATTTCAGATGCGATACTGACATGTCTCCACGAAAATGGAAAAGCGAAAAATGATTTAACGAAATTCAACATGAAATTCGCTGAGAAAATCTTGAACGTTTTTGACTCGTGGATTCCGACAGAATTTGTTAATATTATGTAGCTCATCTTGCAAAAAGTAATACTAACATTAATTAAACACAATAAATAAATTTAGGTAGAATTAGTTATAATCAAATTGAATTGCTTACAACACTCCTTACAGTAATTGGAGACGACACGACAAGATTCATCCACAGCGCGATTTCGCAATCAGCCATAGTATTTTTCCTCGTCATTACCGATATATTCATCACGGATAAACGTGAAAAAATATAAAACAATTATAATAAATACAGCAATCAATGTTTCTAAAATTCGCATATGTGACATCTGAGCATCAGCGACTCGTACAGTAAGAAGATAGGTATATAACTTAACATCGTTCATCGCCCATCACTTCACATGCATTACAAGTTTCAAACTGGTAAATATGTATTGTAGTATTATAAATAAACTTACCTTCAAATAAGACCGCTCTTCTATGACGTAAACGATGTAAATGTAATGCAAAATATTGTAAACTCACTCAGACACAAACATTGTGGGTTGAATTACACCGAGTGTCAATTGTATGAAACTAGTTAGACAGTCACACAATACGCAGGCAGACAACAATGGAGCGCGTGGAGCAAGTGAGACAGTCGCACAATACGCAGGCAGACAACAATGGAGCGCGTGGAGCAAGTGAGACAGTCACACAATACGCAGGCAGACAACAATGGAGCGCGTGGAGCAAGTGAGACAGTCACACAATACGCAGGCAGACAACAATGGAGCGCGTGGAGCAAGTGAGACAGTCGTACAATACACAGTCATCAGTACAATGAACAGCATTCGCCAGTAGCATCAGTACAATGAACAGCAACAGCCAGTAAATGTACATGAAAGGAACAGTACAACTCACCCTGGGCGACAGAGGCTTCGACGCCGAGCCTGTGAGCCAGCGCAGAAGCAGCTGCCTCGTCTCTTCGTCGACATCGTCGCTATCGACGTCCAGCGTCTGCCATCATACACGGTACTTGTTATTTGTAAGTCTAATTTGAATATCGGTAATACGCTCCTAAACTACGAATCTCAGTTACTGTACACGTTACTGAAGAGCGAATATCAGCAACACGCTACTGAACTGTAAATATCAGTTACATGTCACTGAAGATCAAATAGCAACACGCTACTGAAATATAAATATCGGTTACATGTCACTGAAGAGCAAGTATCAGCAACACGCTACTGAACTACAAATATCAGTTAATCTTTACTGAAGTACATATATCAGTAACACGCCACTGAAGTACATGGACTAGAGACACGTCCCTACTTTACTCCGATATCACATTGGCAACAACGTAGGAAGGTTATTAATTAAGTACCTACCGGTTGCGAAACACGACACAGAAATGTGCTTGGTTACGTCCTCTACGCAAAACAAAAATTTACTAACCCAGTTGAAATATTAAACCAGCTGATATAACAGCGAGTTGATTATTCCACGTCGTTATTATTTCACACAAGACTACCTGAGGCTGGGTGAGTGTGGGAACACAAGACTACCTGAAGCTGGGGGAGTGTGGGAACACAAGACTACCTGAGGCTGGGTGAGTGTGTGAACAGAAGACTACCTGAGGCTGGGTGAGAGTGGGAACACAAGACTACCTGAGGCTGGGTGAGTGTGGCAACAGAAGACTACCTGAGGCTGGGTGAGTGTGGGAACACAAGACTATCTGAGGCTGGGTGAGTGTGTGAACACAAGACACACCTGAGGCTGGGTGAGTGCCTGCCGCAGCTGGTGACAGAGGCTGACAGGCGTTGCCAGATGGTGGTCAGCGCTGACATCCGGCAAACTGGCAAGCTCCAGCTGAGCGCCTGCAATTCCATATCAATAAAGGTACTGTGTCTAAAAGCATCTCTGATAAAACATATATCTAATATTTAGGCCAAAAAACACCATTCAAAGTAAATTCACCTGCAAGTAGCAATGATAAATGAGCTATTTTACTTTTGAATTACAATTATAAAACAATTGCAAGCTCTAAGCTACACACTTCTAGATTGAATTTATCTCAATTGGCAAATATACACTGAATATAACTTTTCTAATATCAAAAACAGAACATTTGTGCCAAAGAATAAGTGTTTAATCATTGATTTTTATACCTCATTTCAACTCTAAGAAAATTCTGTCAATATTTAAAAATTTTGCAAAAGCATTTACTGTAACTCAACATCTGACATGATAAAAACAATGTGCTTTATTAACAGTACAAGTATATACTAGTGAGCTTGTCTAATTTGTAATAAAGATGTCAGAGAGCATGAAGATAGAGTGAACTACCTATTGTTCAACATTCTAGGTGTATTAAAATATTTAGCAATGATCCATAACAGCAGGCTATTTCAGACAAGAGCTTCAAAGCAAATTAATGCAAAAAATTGAGGAGATTCAAATTTTTGGTTATTTTCAAAGCAGAGTTGAATAAAAAATTATATTAGAAAACATAAAAAAAGTACATTCATAAAATTAAAATCTTCCAAACAGGGGGATATAAATGGTAAATAAATAATAAACAAAACAAGAGCTACGGAAAGGGAGAAGAGCTGGTGTAAGATTTAACATAAGATTAAAATCCATAACCTGAAAGATCCATGGCAGTGCAAGACCTGTGGAATATAGCAATGGAATAATATGATTAATTCATTAGTGGACAAAAGCATCCCAATATCTGCACAGACAAGAAGAAAAAGTTAGGATTTATATTCCTATCCCAAATCAAAAGATGTTAACCCATCCTCAGTATGGTAACTATGGTAGTACTTGCTTGTCAGTAATAAATCTGTCAATGCTAGGCTTGTTGACATAAGGCTTGTCAACATGAGGCTTGCCAATATGAACAACAAAGACTAACATCCAAGGTATGGTACTGATAACTCAGAATGATGTCTAGATTCAAAATATCCCATCATAAGTTAGAAACCAAATTCATCCAATAAAAATTCCCAACTTCCCCAATTCTCTAACATATAGTAAGCAAAATGAATTAGGTATTTTCTGCAATGCTGTATTGATGGTATACAAGTTAAAAACATCTGTATTTTGTTCAAGAATAATAAAACTGTATTTTTTCAACATAAAATGTACCTACCTATATACAGTACATATATTGATAGCAAAAATTTAACATATTAGCAAGTGCAAGAGAACCAAATCAATAAGAATAATTTTAATTAAGCATTTCATAAAGCCTATTTTTATCATTTTTCATACTGAAACCTCTCTATTTTGAGGTAAACAAGTGAAAACACAAGGCATAGCTTCAACATAAGAATTTAATTGCATACTCCTGCTCTTGTATTATCAATTTTATTCTATCTTGTTTGGTCGTCATATGAATATCAACAGAAATGGCATCTATAAGCCATCACAAAAAAGTGTTCACAAAGCACTGAGGAGTCAGAACAGCATACCTCCCTCAGAGCTCAAGATCAATGAATGAAAGATACTCTATCTGTCATATCACTGGCCTAATCAGAGATAAGCAAATATCAACAGTCTTATCAGCAAGCACATGAAAATCAACCCTCCATATTTAGGACTCTTAACTCTTCACAAATCCAAAACAAGGGAAGCATGAGTACAAATAAAGAAATAAAAATCATTTCATTATTTACATAATTTGATAAACTTTAAAATTTATTTTGCAAATACACAGGAGCTAAAACAAGCTCAAATAAAGATTTTACACTTTTTCTGCTATTCAAAATCAAGATTAAAACTAAGTGAATTATGAATCAATAATTTACGCTTTCATTACCATTAGATACATACAAACAGAAATGAAGTCAAACATAGATACCGGTATGCTCAAACATTCAGTCAAATGGTTAATACTAGTACCATATACCTATACATTATATACCTATATACATGAGGGGAAACAAACTGACATGCTTAATTTCCTTAACCCTTTCACGCCTGAATTATCTTGTGATCCAAAATAAAATATTTTTATGCTAAAAATGAGTTATTTAGGTGTTAAATATTACAGAAAGAACAATAGTTATGAAATATTCCTTTATTTGAAAAAGTTACAAAATGTTGCCTTTTGTCTACATCCGGCAGATATAGACAATTTCGAATGGCTACTTAGTATGGTATTGAGCATAGCAAGTTTTTGTTCTAGTAAGGCACAAACCTACACTACATTTGTTGCACCTTACTTTAGTGAAACCTTTCACACTAAACTTGCATCTTTGTTTTGTTTCAGCAATAAATGGCAAATGACCAATATTGTCGAAACGTACAGCGTCTAATGGATGTGAGAATTTCCTTCTTTATGAGGTGGAGGCTCCATTCACGTGGCTTGGTCTTCCTCTTGGAGTTGAACTTGGACTCATCAAACCAATGGCTAGATCTTCCTTGAAGTCGGACAGACTCTTCACTTTTGATTTCATTACATGGCAATTCCTTTTATACAAAAGCCAAGAATTCACCACACTCATGTCCAATAAATACAAAAAAATTCGCATGTACCATTTCTTAGATTTGAAATCTATGCGGTAAAGTTCGATCAACATGTCACATAGATCGACGCCTCCCATAAATTTGTTATATTCTTTTACAACAAATGGTCTGTTTATTTCAATGTGCTTGTTTCGCTTCTTGTCCCATCTCTTGACGGTGTCTTCTGGAGTGATGCCGGCATAAGTTGAAAGAAGGTGAACAGACTTATTGTCAAACCACTTCACTGCTATTACATCACGATTTGTTTCGACACGGTAGTCGAAACTTCCTCGTCCCTCTTTCTGTAATTTCTTGTCATTTTCCATGATGCATCCTTTCAGTCTATTTGCTCTAACAGTAGATACATTCAAGATTCCAGATTCCTTTAGTTTTGACGATAAATCAACAGAAGAGAACCAGTTATCGTAGAACAACTTGTAGTTCAAGTGCTTAGGTATGCCTTCAGCAAGACGAAGCACATAGGCAGATGATACTCCAACACCAAGGTCATCATTTTTCTGAGATTTGCCTGTATATATCTCGAAGTCATAAACAAACCCACTTGATCCTGCTTGTGATATTACTTTGTATCCCCATTTGTGAGGTTTTTTTGGATTGTATTGTTTCAAAGATATGCGAGCTTTTGTGGGAATGATTTGCTCGTCTACAACTTGATGTTCTTCCTGCGATACCTTCCGACAATTTGTTCTGATAGATTCAATTATGGGTCTTATTTTGAATAACTTATCAAAATCGGGATCATCTCTGGTCTTCTGTTGCGTGTTGTCGTTGAAATGAATATATCTCTTTATCTCTTCAAACTTATCTCTACTCATGATGTCTGATATTGCGGCCAGTTGCAGGCCTTTCTTCCAGTATGTCCGATAGCTGGGAACTTTTATAATACCAGTTAGAAGTAGAATTCCCAAAAAGCATTTCATGTCAGTATTTTCAAGACGCATCTCTTTGCCATCCTTCTGTAGTGCATGCAGTTTAGTTTGTTGAACAATGAAATCTATAAGAGCATCATCAAAAATCAAATTGAAAAATGAAGTTGCACTAAATGTTTGCCATTCTTCATCAACAATAAGACGGTCTTTCCATTCAATATCATTAGGCGGAGAGAAATCTTTTTTACTCCATATGAATTCATTTATTACATTCTTAGCTGCTCTCTGTTGCTCTGCCATAATTGAAAGTGGAATATCATCTTCAGATGCACCATCATGCACTTCGATATTTGGCAAGGTGCAAATATGTTGGATGGTATCTTCTTCTTCAATATCATCATATACAGCAGATTCAAATTCTTCATCATCTTCATCAGATTTATCACCATCAGGACAGAGTACCATCTTCACAGCTTCATCTAATGTCAGAAACTTCCTACCCTGGCGAATTGCCGAGCGCTTCTGTACCTTTTCGTATTCGGTCAAGTGTTCTGTGTTAGATCTACTTGGTCCCGGCTGCTCATAAGACATGATGGATCTGCAATATAATATAAGGAATAACTACTTAGGACTACAAAAATTTCATTGGTAATCAAGGAAATAGTTAGTGCTGTCACGACGCTCTTCTACTCAGTTGTTTACCAACTTGTGAATTACTGCCGGATGTAGCAAATAAGCTACATATCATTTCAAAACCTTAGATTTCAAAATGTTCATGTTATATAATATTTTTGACAATTTAATATCTTACTATGCATCATTACCTATACAATGAGTATGATTTGCACTAAGATAATCATTTGGAAATATTTTTAATCGCGATATCAAATAATGAAAAAACAGCGTAACACTCACCAGACTCAGGAACGTGTTTTGACGCGTCTTCTCTCGATCATAGCTGTCATACTACTGACGCAACGAAGCAAATCTTAGTTCCACTTTGTAGCTGTTGATGCACTCTTTGCAACAGCGTTTAAAAATATCCTAGATTGTAATTAGAAATGCCTTAAAGATAGACTAGAATTTAATGTAGACTACAGTCTACATCCGTCCTGAAAGGGTTAAGTTTAAGGAAGCTCACAATGTAGAAGTGTGGCCACTCACCTGCAATGATGCCATCCATCTGCTGCAGAGCAGCCTCAAGCATGAGGCTGGCATCCAAATTACTATGGCCTTTAATTGCTGGCAATTCCCCGCTCATTTTCCTGTCTTGTTTGCACACACAGCAATATTTAACCAGAAATTAATTAAAATGAGAGAGCAGTAGAGTAAATTAGCCCAAACAAGTAACTTGAAATTTTTACTCTTTATAAACAAACCTCATGACTATTACTTGTGGAATATTCTCTACTTTGGTCTGACAATGTTCATAAAATTAAAAAAAATTCTGAAAATTCAATAAGACACAATTAACAGATTAAATTGATATCCATCATAACTTGACTTTAAAATATTTTATCCAATGTTTACAATGTGTTGTATGCTCCCTGCCAAGTTTCTTTAGATCTTCATGACTCCAATTTGTAATATATATAACAATAGAAAATGAAATGTGGAAATCTAGTCTAAGAAAGTAGCAAAAACTATTATATATTAATATATTTTCTACACAACACAGAATCAAATTTTAATTCTACCAGGGATTTGATTCATTTTTTTGCAACATTATTCATCTATATACGTACCATCAACTGGGGCAACTTTAGCCACCAAGGGTGACTTTGACCACCACTACAACAAGAAATAAATGGCAGCAAAAGAAAATAATAAACGTTGGCCAAAGTCACCCCACCCAGTCACTTTGGTCAATGTTTATTATTTTGTTTTGCTGCCATTTATTTGTTGTAGTTTTGGCCTAAGTCATCCCCGGTGCCCAATGTCACCCCAGTTGACGGTACTAAGAAACAATTGAGTTTTATTTGAAGTGTTCTGGATTACCCCGTTACCAGGGGTAATTCGGGACGCTTTAATTTTGTGTCTGGCACCTTACAAATAGCATATGGAATTTTTTCAGAAATACCATGCAAAAGCCCTTGCAATTTGTTTCTGAAAAGTTTCAAGGTAAGAAGTTATTAATGGAAAACACTCAAAACCATCTCTTATTACCCCGCTTGACGGTGTACAAACTTATTAAGGAGCTTTATAAATTATGTTAGAAATTGTATCTTAAGTTTTGTTTCTAAAATAGATCATATTTAGTGAAGGCCAGCAATTCGGCATAGAGGCAGACCAGAGAATTTTAGAATCAGTTCATTTTTAATTTTCTTATCTACTCAAGATTAAAACCAATATCTCTTATCTGATAATGCTGGTATGAATGGTATCCATGATACTTTACTGTTCTACTAACTCAAAAATGAACTTGAGGAAATTTCTGAAGAGTCTCTGCTTTGCCTCTATGTAAGTTGTTGTTGTGGTTCCCCGGTCTCATTTTTATAAGAGACCTCCCCCTTGCGCAAGTACGACACCACCAACAGGGGGTCACTCCAGAGCTGTAGGGTTGAGGTTATTTGGTGGTGTTGTCTGAGGTCCTGCCAGAGTGGACATTCCAGGAGAATGTGAGTGATTGTGTGGGGAGCTCTCTGGCAGGATGGGCAGGTGTCTGTGTCTGCTTGGCCTATTCCGTTTGCGTATGTTTGTAGTGAAGGGTGGTGGCCGCAGCGCAGCCTGGCTAGGTGTACTCTCTCCAGTCTAGATAGCTGTGTTTCTGTGCTGCTTATGTCAGGTGGTGGGTGCCCAAGGACTTTGTTCTAAGTGTCATAATTGTGTGTAAGTGTTTTTTTGTGCTGGTGTTGCCTTAGGGTGGGGGTACTGTGTCTAGTATGTTGGTGTAGTATCTGTGAGGGGTTTGCACCATTTGTCTATGTGTAGGTGGGTGGCCGCATAGGTAGTGGCATGGGTGTTGTGTGTTGTTTATGGCTGCAGTCTGCGGCTATCAATTGTTTTGCTCACTAATCACTATATACCTATGTAAGTTAAAGTTGGCAACATAAGTGGCATGCACCTATGCCTATGGCAACATTGGTCGGTTGGTGGGCAGTAGCCATTCTGGTGAATCAGGACATCAGGCAAAAGCCACCTATGATTGATGACAGAATAAGACAAAATCACAAAAATGCCTATGTTTGCACTTTGCAGTCAGTTTCATCTGATTTTATTGCCACAAACTACAAAGCCTTATTTATTTCATAAAAGAATTTCAGAATGGCCTATTTTTGCATTTCTATTTTGAACATCACCCTAAAAAATGCCATTTTCAAGTGAGATTTTTGAAAAATTCTACCTAATATTCGAGATTGGGTTAGTGCCTAGGCCTAGGGCCTAGCTACTGCCTATCAAAATCAAGCTAGCCTTAGACTTTAGTCAGAGGCATTGATTTGATTTCATAGCATCGATACACTTACAATGATATTGAATTACTGATAGTAAATTAGTGACAGCATTAGCAGCACTGAGCACACTGAGACTGAGCACAGCATTCACAGCAACAGCCTAGCAGAGTAGCAGTAGCAGTACTAGAGCAGGCCGGTAGCAAATAGCAAAGGAAGGAGAGATTTTGTTAGAAACCAGTTCATTTCAAATTACCTTATATAGTTATTATAGTTTTTGTATTCAATATCTATACAATACTGCTGGTATTCAATATCTAAACAATACTGCTGGTGCTGGAGTGCTGGTAAGTGGTATCCAATATCCACTATGATTATCCATGATACGTTCCTGAAAGGCTGAATCCTGGTCTGCTCATAGCATTCTGCCTACTCATAGGACTCCTGGAGATCTGGACTCGAAAACAAGACTTACAAGAGTCTATAAAAGTCTCTGCACCTGCAGCTCTGCCAATTGCCAACATGAATAATGAATGGAAATTTGGGATGTGACATTACTACGACCTACGTTACGTCGGTTGTAACTAGTACCGTAGTACGTAACTACTAAGTACTAACAACTATGCGTACGTACGTACTAACTAGTTACGTCAAAGTAAATAGTAATTAATGAAGTAAACAGACTTGGGAGTTAGAGAAAGAACCATGAAAAGCATTTAAGTAGGAATTTCACACATCTCTTTTTCAATTAAATGGATAAATAACACTTTCCACTCATATTAATCAGCTTCTATTTTTCACAGCTTACAGCTGTCAAACGGCAGAAGCGGGCACTGCTCCCTTGACCCTTCACTCACTCGCGGACCGATTTAAACTAAAGTTTCCATCCGATGATCCGATACAAAATGTGGATATTATCGTTAAAAAACGTATCGTGTTGAATCATTCTTCAGGAGGTTCACAGTACCATGCACAGTACGCTGTGCCTTAAGACGATTTATACTTTAGGCTGCTATTAGTTAAAATTAAGATACGACTCAATGAATAGGGGAAAAGAAATATTGGACGCCAGATTTGCGTTTATGGACAGGGAGTGCAGCTTGCCATATCTCATCCAAAATAAACTGCTTAGCTTGCGAAAATTGCCATGCATAGTAGACTTTATATTACTCGAAGAAGTCAAATGCTATCAGACGTATTGCCAGCTGATGTTGCTGCCAGCTTAGCAGCGGCTGCATAGTTTTAGACCCTACTTTTACTGTATCACAATTATTGGGTTACAGCAACTAAAATGAGATGGGGGATGGTTGAAAATAGACTTGAGGAGATGATGTTATATCCATATATAATAAGTTGTAAGATGTCATATGGTTCTGCTGTGACGAAGGAGTTACTGGGATCAGGGAGTGCCGTCCAGTATAGATGTAGGTTACTGGCGCGACAGACAGCATATTGCTCACAGACTGAAGTGACAAAGCTAAGAGCAGGCTTTCTGAGAATATGGGAAAAATCCGGGGAGTAGAATGGTCTAAATGTCATTGAATCTCCCTGATGTTGTTTCCCACACCTCCCAATAATGGCAATTGGAGAAGTGGTGGTGAATCAAGGAGGTGGGAAAATCTACAGAGAAATTTCTGTGGCGTGATTCGAGTGTAGGGAGGATTATGCAGGGATCGTGCATCTGTGCAAATTATGCAGGGATCATGAGACGAGAGGCAGCGCGTGTCGGGCCGGGTGCGGGATGGTGCTATATGAAGGCATCGGTGCCAGCGGTTGAGGGCACTGATACGCTGATATTATTCAAATGCTTGAAAGTATGAGAGCACACATTTGTCTTTTTACGAGAAATATCTGCAAAAATTAGATCAGTGATGTCCAGGAGTTGGAAAAGAAGAAGCCGTGGAGGAGGACATAAAGCTGCAAAATGTCTCGAGTTTAGATCTATGTTAGCCTGAGTATGTAGGTCTCAGTGACGTAGCGCAGAAATGGCTCTGCCTGCATAGCTGTAAAATCAAACAGTAATTCCCCTTTGGCATGAAAGTAGAGCTTTGGGGCACAAATGCTATATTTTTCATTATGTTCATGGGAACGCTGCAAGTTGGCAAAACGGTCTTCGTTTGTGATAAGCACTCCCTCGTACTCGGCGGGTAGCCCACTGATTGCAGTTCCGGTTGTGAGTTGTGGGTGTGATCCCTGCTGCCCAAGACAGCTCTAACCTAAATCGGTGAGGTGGCAGGGCAGTAAAACACAGCGAAATTGAAACAGTGAGTTACAAGTTTGAGACCGCAATTAGCTGTACAAATTCTGCGACATTCAGAATTGGAAACCGGTCTAATGCCCTCATCAACGCTGACACTGCAATTACGTCTATTTCTTTACTCTTCACGCAAACACTTCTTCGTACTTCAATTTCCTCGTACAATGATTATCCACGGTTCAAAATATTTGGCTGCTGTTCTGCATCGTTTAAATCAGCGTACTGCGTGGCGACATCGTTGATAGCATGGTGAGTGCGATAAATCATTTTGTACATTTATTACAATAATGGATTTTACAAGTTTACTCTAATAATAAATTTTTCTAATACTGAGTTGTAAATGGGATTAACAATTTCAGACACCCATTTAACACGGTCTCCACCGACTGTGTATTACGGAGGCGACCGTGTTAAATGAGAGTGCTCCATCATTTATCCTATTCTTTACAGTATCCCAT